CTTCGATGATGCTGACGATGATGAGGATGCCGAGGACAACGCTCGGTTCCACAGCTAGAGAGTCGATGAGTTTTTACAGGAAACTAAGAAAAAATGCGGAGCTTTTGTCTTCTCTGGTCAACGTTTTTATTCGAAGTCTCCGGAAACTCTTGTAAAGGTCGAGTCCCCAGTTTTGGTCTTTACTTATTTAGGAATGGTGAGATAGGAACAATGATTATAGGCTATTTACATTAAAGTGTTTACAATGATTTATTTCAAGGGTTAGCGTGCGCTAATATGCCCCCCCCCTGCCGGATGGCGGTTTTAAACTTGGTTAGGCTTCTAATGGCTTCCTGCAGCTGGTGAAGCGTCTGAGATGGTGAGATACTGCGTCTCGGAGGGCGGCGTTCGGAAGTGTTCCTTGTTTTGGTACGACTCGCTCGAACGGGTCGGTTGATGCTTGGTGGAGAGCTGTCCTTTCGTGGGCTGCGCGGTTGACGTCCTTCCTTCTTTGATGATTCTGGAGCTTCCGTGGTGGTGTAGCCGTGGTGCAGCAAAGTGTGATGCAGGTCTCCACACTTGTGACACACCTCTTTGGAATCGCATTGATGCACGCGATGTGTGGTGGCCAGGCAATTTGAGCAGTAGCCCATTCTTCGTGCGGCGCGACGGCGTTCCAGGATGTTCAGCTTGATGAATTTAGCGCATACGCGCAAAGGATGACCTTTGTGGCACATGCGGCACTTGTACATCTACGGAATTAATTACGGAATTAGTATGGGTGTATAAATGAGACAACTTTAACAGAGAGATAGAGAGAATGGGGTGGGATTTCGGTTATTGTTCAACCGAGGACGAGTTGTCTTTGATTGGGAGAGGCACGAGTTTTACAATGGGTCGCGTGAGCGGTCCAGTTTGGGTTTGGAGGTCCACTGTGCGCGTATTTTGGTCTTTGCTTGGATATAAGTGTATGACTCTTCCAAGACGCCAATGCGTGGGTGGGCAGGCGTCGTCCTTGATAATGACGATGTCATTAACTGAAAGGTTGGCTTTTGGTTGCTTCCATTTAAACCTTCGGTGGAGTTCATGAAGGTATCCACGGTTCTTTGTCGAAGGACTCTTTTTATTCACTTCTGTCGGATTCGCCGAGCAAATCGCGACAAGAATTAGAACAAAGCGCCTGGACTTAGCCGCGTGATGCCTTAAGGACCTCAGCTACGTGTTTCTCAGCTCGGAGACTTCAACTCTAAATCCCGAACATCTTGATGTAGCGATCTTGCTCCTGTTGATTCGGCGCGGCTCTGCTTCCTCCTGATGCTGACTTGACTTGTTTTGTTCACTGTTTTTCTGCTTGTCTACTGATCCTGCTGGATTGACTCCTTGTGATCGACTGATCCCGCTTCCTGCGCTCGGCCCGCTTATATAGGCCGGCGTATCCCGTTAATTCTCGGCTTCTCCTTTTTCGGTTTTGCGCACGGCACCATACTCGGTCCAAAGTCCGCCGCATCCTACCGTTACACGTTCTCTCCAAACTCTCTCCAGCTGTATTCTCCAAACTCTCAACAGCTGTATTTCTCCAAACTCTCACCAGCTGTATTCCTCCAAACTCTCATTTATTTGTGAGGAGTTTAACTCTTCACATTCTCCCCTTTCTTCGGGAAAGAAATGAGACTTGCACCTCTTCTCCGGCTGTTATCTTGGAGTTCTCCTTGGATCCGCTGTTCTGGATCGCTGATGTTGGTCCTCCTTCCCTCGACGTCGCTCTTCTCGTTCTATGTAGTTCCCGCCCCAAGATGTTTCCCCCATAGACTTGATTTTTCTCTCCGGCTGTCTTCCTTGTAAATTCTTGTAGCCTTCGAGTCCTCTTGCTCCTTCAAATGGTTCTCTCGACGCTCACAGCTCGTACCTGAGTTCCACAGCGCCGATACTCCATTCCTTTTCCCGCCCAAGATGTTTCCCCCATAGACTTGACTTTCTTCTCTCCGGCTGTCTTCCTTGTAAATCCTTGTAGCCTTCGAGTCTTCTTGCTCCTCCAAATGGTTCCCTCGACGCTCACAGCTCGTACTTGAGTTCCACAACGCCGATGCCCCATTCCTTTTCCCGCCCAGGATGTTTCTCGTGTTCACCTTCGTATCTCCTTTGAATGTCCCGCCCAAGATGTTTCCCCCCATATGCTTCGCGTTCTAAGCATCTCCTTTCCTTCGTTGTCTGGTCACACTACTGCTTTCCCGAACGGTTTTCCAGCCGATCTCGATGATTTGAATTAGTGCAGCGTTGCCATCCGATGGTGGCGATATATTTTAGTGTGACCCTTCCTGTGCCGTCATCTCCAGTGTTCTGTGCCCATCGATCGACACTATCGTCCAGTGCCAATCGACCGCTTAATAATCGAAGCGCCCCCATCCCTTTATTTGAGCGACATTCAATGGTAAGTTTTTTCCTTTCTTTCTCCACTTTCACCCTTCTCACTTTTTACTCTCTCTTTTAGCCTTTCGCCCTCCAGTCGCCCTTGGCCGTAGGGCCTCGATGTCGTATACGAGAAGACCGATGCCGCCTGTACCCTTTTTTTGTGCCCGTGTTTTCTGTGTTCCCTGTGCCAGGTTTTCCTGTGGTGTATAGGGCGCCGTGAATTGCTGCTTTATTCCCATTTCGCTAAGAAATCTTTTGAAGGATCGACTGGCGAACTGTACTCCGTTATCGGTTATCACTATCTTTGGAGCCCCGAATCTTGATATTATGCGTTCTCTGAACGCCCTCTGTAGGGTCTCCGCTGTTGCTGTTCGTAGCGGTACAATTTCCGTCCATTTGGAAAACCGATCGACTAACACCAGTATCATCTGGTTTCCGTGCTTTGATCTTGGCAATGGCCCGACGAAGTCCGCACATACTGTTGGCCATGGTTCCTCTGGTACCTGAGTGAGCATTTTCCCTGCAGCCTGCAGCTGATTGGGCTTGTATTTCAGGCAAACTTCGCACGTGCGTACGTGGGTCCTGGCGTCTCTGTGCATTCCTGGCCAGTAGTACCGGGCTGCCAGGCGTGCTATTGTTCTTCTACTCCCAACATGACCAGCGGATGGGGAGTCATGGTTTTCTTCTAGTACGGCTTGTCTTAGACCCTGCGGAACGCACAGTTTCCAAGCCACGACATCTTCATTGCCCGCTCTGTGAGGAATGTGCCTATAGAGAGACTCGCCTTCCATTACATAATCTGGATATTTTTTTGGTTGGGCCTTTATCTTCTCGCACATACTCCTGATCCAGCTGCAGCTATTGGTTGGTTTTTCCGATGCGTCTTCCATGGCCCTAAGAGTCTCCGGCAACGGTTGTCGGGATAGGGCGTCTGCCACCACGTTCAGCTGTCCTCTCCTGTACGCTATCTCGAAGTCGTACTGCTGTAACTCCAGGGCCCATTTTGCTATCCTTCCAGACGGGCTTTCTATGCTGTTTAACCACTTTAAAGCCATGTGGTCTGTAACCACTTTAAAATGGTAGCCCTCCAAGTACGGCTTCAGCTTTCTGATTGCCAACACGATTGCCAAGCAGAGTGCTTCTGTTGTGCAGTAATTTTTCTCTGCGCCGTTTAGTGTCCGGCTTGAATATGAAATTAACCTTTCGCCGTCCTCTGTCTCTTGCGTCAGGATTGCACCTAATCCATAGTCGCTGGCGTCCGTCTGAAGGATGAACTTTTTCTCGAAATCTGGGCACGCCAGCACTGGATCGGCTACTAGTCGTGCCTTTACCTCTTCGAAGGCCTGTTGGTGTTCCGGCGTCCATATCCACTTTGTGCCTTTTACTATACGGGCAAAATCTGGTACAAATCGTCGATACCATGAACCTACGCCTAGTTATTGCCGTAGTTCGCGTACTGTCGACGGCTAGTTCGGCTATGGCCGCTACCTTCTCGGGATCTGTGCCTATCCCTTCGCTAGTAACGCGGTGTCCTAGGTAAAGCAACTCTTGCTTGAAGAATTTGCATTTATCGGCGTTTATTCTTAGGTTTGCTTCCTTGAGGCGCCTAAACACTTCCTTTAGGTTCTCCACGTGTGCTTTCAGCGTGCGTCCGATCACAATGATGTCATCTTGGTATGCAAACGCGTATGGTGACATCTCCGGGTCGATTACCTGATCCAGAGCCCTTTGGAACGTGTCCGATGCTGAATGTAGTCCGAAAGGCATTACTTTCCATTGGAATAAGCCTTTGCCGGGTACTGTAAACGCCGTATATTGCCGACTATTTACCTCCAAAGGGACTTGCCAATATCCGTCCTTATAACTCTCCATAACGTGTTCGTTGGCTGCCTTTGTTGTGTTACATTGGCCGGTGTCCACTGGCCGTAGGACGGTGTTTGGTTTACCGTGCTGTCTTCACATCTCCTGCATGTAGTTTGTGGTGGTGCTGCGATTTTGTTCCGAGAGAACTTGTGTTCGTGAACGAATTCTTCTCGCTCTTTGTCCAGTTCTTCGTACTCGTCAGCCAGGATCATTAATGTGTCCAGATCATCCACATTGTACGTTCTTAGTGAAATTCTCAGGTCTGTGTGATTTTCTTTCTTGGCTTACGTTTCGACTCCTGCCAGCTTCCTTCATGCTGTCCACTCCAAGACTTGCTATGAGCTTTTCGGCGTCAGGGTTCAGAAATTTGACTGTTGGGTCTGGCTTATCGTCGTATTTCTCTTCCAGCTCAGCCCAGATCTCTGCTACTCCTGGGTCATCCTGTTTCCTCGTTAGGTACTCTGAGAGGGCTTTCCTCATGTCATCCGTTCTTCCCCCAAAATGAACCCTTATTTGGCCCTTTTTTTTTGGAAATCCTCTTTCTTGTTTATTTGCTGATTCTCACCGACCGGACAATCACGTTTTGGGCGCCAGATGTAACGAACTAATTTTGTATGTCTGCTTGCTACGAGTATCGTGCGCCTAGCTTAGAAGATGTGTGTTGTTCGTCCCACCAAATTTATATAAACGTGACCGCCCGATTGTCTAAGGAGAACGCACAGAATGTTAGGTTGTTTATACTAGGATCTTTATTCGCCGACTTGTCCCTCGACCTGGGACCAATGGTGACAGATGCGTGTCTCAACGCCTTCCTTGAAGAATTGTGGCTGATCCACCGTCGCTCTCCGCTGCCTCGTTGCTCGCTGCTCCGGAACGCCTGCGCTGTCTTTGGCCTCGGGGCTATGAGGGTCTAGGGATGCGTCACCGTTCCCAGACTAGGGTGAACAGGCACTGGGCTCTCAAGGCGTACGCCTTTCGCAGCCACAGCCTCCTGTCCCTTGATCTGTTCCGGCCGGTCGCACCAGACGCCTACACAGTTTCTACCAATGCAGTCCCTGTGGCAGGACGCTAGGTTCAAGACAAACGCTTTCGCCCTCGCCTGCTGGGCCTGCGATGACTGCTCGTCGTTTCTTGTGTCCTCGATGTCCTCGCGAATCCTGGCTCCGTTGTTCGCGTGCTCTTGTGAGACTAGGTGCAGCGGGTTTTTGGCTCTCGGGATTCGGTTAGCTGCCTTTCTAGGACTCTGGCGGTGAACTACTGTGCTCTCGACGCATACGCCTCTTGAGACACCCGTGGTTCGGACGCTCGTCCTTCTTGGCTAGTCGCACCAGGGCCTGCACAATTCGCGCCTGCCGGTTCAGGCGTACGCCGGAATTCGACAAGGCAATTGTTTTCGCACGGCAGCTGGTTCTGGACAGCTTCCCTTCCGAGCCCACGGTTCTTTGTCGAAGGACTCTTTTTATTCACTTCTGTCGGATTCGCCGAGCTCAAATCGCGACAAGAATTAGAACAAAGCGCCTGGACTTAGCGGCGTGATGCCTTAAGGACCTCAGCTACCTGTTACTCAGCTCGGAGACTTCAACTCTAAGTCCCGAACGTCTTGATGTAGCGATCTTGCTCCTGTTGATTCGGCGCGGCTCTGCTTCCTCCTGATGTTGACTTGACTTGTTTTGTTCACTGTTTTTCTGCTTGTCTACTGATCCTGCTGGATTGACTCCTTGTGATCGACTGATCCCGCTTCATGCGCTCGGCCCGCTTATATAGGCCCGCGTATCCCGTTAATTCTCGGCTTCTCCTTTTTCAGTTTTGCGCACGGCACCATACTCCGCCGCCTTCTACCGTTACACGTTCTCTCCAAACTCTCTCCAGCCGTATTCTCCAAACTCTCTTCTTGTTTCTCTCCAAACTCTCTCCAGCTGTATTCTCCAAACTCTCAACAGCTGTATTCCTCCAAACTCTCTCCAGCTGTATTCCTCCAAACTCTCATTTATTTGTGAGGAGTTATTTAACTCTTCACAACATATACGGACTACTAAAAATCCACAAGGAAGGGACTCCATTAAGACCCATATGCTCATCTATTGGATCACCATCACACGGACTTTGTAAATATATTTCAAACATATTAAAGAACATCACCATAGACAACATCATAGCTTTCTATAGCTTCAACATCAAAAACAGTAGAATCTAAAGAGAGAATCAACAACAGGTACATCTGTGATGATGAAAAATTAATATAATTTGATGTAGTCTCACTATTTCGCAGCATACCTATAGACCTTGCACAATTAGAGAAAAATGGACATAAATAAAAGAACACACAAATATGCCGAAAAAAATGTTAATGGACATAGTACAATTGTGCATACAAGACAGATACTGTAAATTTAATGACGATATATACACACAACTAAAAATAGTGCCGATGGGATCCCCTGCTTCACTAATAATTGCAAGAGTTATTAGACAACATTTTTAAAAAACTAGGACATAAACCAAGACTTTTGACGAAGTATGTGGATGATTTATTTTCAATAGTAAAAGAAGACCAAATACAAAACACACTTGACGATTTAAACTCTTTCAATAAAAATATAAAATTCACACTGGAACAGGAAGAAGGATGAGGACTAGCATATTTGAACTCAATGGTTCATAGACAGGGGAACATTCCAAAACTAAAGTGGTATAAAAAACCATCAGCACCAGGACGAATCATCAACTTTAACTCAAAACACCCTAAAACAATGATTATCAGTACAGCAGTAGGTTGGACCAAATTTTTCATAAAGAAACCAAAAATTAAATAAGACAAATTTTAAAAGGCAACGACTTCCCAAACCGTCTAATTAGAACATTAATTAAAAGACACCAAAACTTGAAACAAAAAACAAAATGTAGAGAACCTACACAATACATGTCCGTAACATATATACCAAGACTATCAGAACGCCTTCAAAAGTCCGAATTTTACAATAAAAAAAAATAACAATGGCACGTAAGCCCAACAATACCCTGCGATCAATATTCAACAAGACCAAGTCCAAAATACAAATGTTTGACAAAAACAATGTTGTATATAAAATACCATGCAATGTAAATAAAAACTCGAATATCACAACACAGATAAGACTTCAAATTAAGACACCAAGCTAATATACAAAAAACAGCACTTATTGCTTACTGTAAAACCAGCGGTCACTCGCCAAATTTTGAAGCAAGGACTATTTTGGAACAAGAACAACATTACAAAAAACGCTTTACGCTTACTTCATAACAACTAGTATTAATCTCCATGTCCGAAAAAAAAAATGTTTTCAATTGTTGACCTCGAGCCGGAAAAACTCAAAAATAAGAACATCAATTTTTAGGCTATTTCTACCGACATGCCTGGGGATAGCCATAGTCCTCGACTATTCCAACTCACAAATCATTTCACTCGAAACCGGATTAGCGGCTAATCAAGACGGAACATTTAAAATCATCCACATATTTAACTTACACAGCTATGAAGAAACTCTGGCGAAGTTAGAAGATGCATTTCATTCACTCATCTCATCCATTACACCCCTATCTCTCCTACGAATTAAAAAAGATTCATACTGATTTACGCATTCTTCAAACACAAAAAAGACAAAAAAGGGCAATAGAAGCAATAGGTACTGCATGGAAATGGCTGGCGAAATCACCACGACTACGAGATCTTAGAAAATAAGATAAATGAGCAATTAGAAAACAACAATTAACAAGTAGTAATTAACAGATTAATTAATAAAAAAATACACAACTTACTAAGGCAAACTAATGCAATATTAAAAGTTATTACCCAGAGCTCGGAAGAAATCGTAAATCAGAAAGCAAATATTTTAAAGTATAAAATTCAATTAATAAAAGAAGAAATGACCAGTCTAATATGACTTGCTGGCTATGTGAAAATATGGTGCGCCGGTTTTACTGGCCGGACAAGCCCCTTTCAAAGGGGCCCAATTGCAGTTTTGTTGTGATGCTTGTGTCGAGGTTGCGAACGAGATGAAATCGTTTATGCGCCAAACTAAAGGCGGCGAACGAGATGAAATCGTTTATGCGCCAAACTAAAGGCGGCCTGATGGGGCTGATTAGCTGTTTCGGAGTTGCTAGAGATAGCTTTCGCCGATGATGATCTCCTCTCTGCGCTAGATTCGCAGTTTAATAGTCGTAAGCTATTAGAAGAGTCCCCTAAGCGTAAAAAGGACGCTGGTGGTAAGCAGCAAAAGGGGAACACCCCGCAACCGAAATGAAAAGATCAACAGAGCATTCCGGCGGATCAGCAGCTGGCTGCAGCAAACCCTCAAATGTTGCTAAGATCAGCAGCTAAAAAAGATTCGGTATCCGAACAATCCGTAACAGAATGCATGCAACCAGGGACTTCTAAGAATTCCGATTTGTCCGTAGTGGTTTCACAATTAGTGGATCCACCTATCTCTCAGAATGTAGCATCACCACCACAAGGGACTACTGAGTCCGGACAACCGGCTCAAGTTGGTTTTGCAGAAACCATGTCTGCTCCACCAAAATCCCTTTCAGTGGTTCCACTAAAGAAACAAATTTTCGTTTCTCGGCTTTCCCCTGATCAAACATCTTCTGATGTATTGTCTTATATACAAAACAAAACTTAAGCCGATTGTATTAGTGTAAAGGTTGAAAAGTTTAAGTTTTCTTATGCTAGGGACATTTCATCTTTCAAGATAACTGTCCATTACGATTTTTGAACCATATGCTTTTTGGGCCATTAGAGCATAAATAAAGAAGGGGCCCGTGGGAGTCAAACTTTCTAGTCGAGGCCAAACCAGTGTACCAATTTCAAAAAACTAACTTCTAACCTCATTCTTTCCTATCAGAATGCAAAAAGTTTGCCTAGCAAGCTCACTAAATTGAATTCCGATAGCCTTTCCTTTGCATCTCATATTATTGTGTTTACAGAAACATGGTTAAAGCCGGAGATCTTTAGCTCCGAAGTTTTTCCAGGTAAGTACACAATACTTAGGTATGACCGTCCCTCTAGACGGGGAGGTGGAGTCTTAATTGGAGTTGATTCAAACCTCCCGTCAGAGGAGTTATTTTTTAAGGAATTCAATACCATTGAATTTATTTGTGTAAAGTTATTGCTTCCTGGAAGCTGTATACATAACTTGCTCATATATTCCGCCAGTGTCTGAATTTTCTGATTATTTAAATCACCTTTCCGTTATTAAGTCGGGTGCAAATAAGCTTTCCGATAGGGATCAGTTGGTAGTTCTAGGTGATTTTAATATACCTGGAGTTACGTGGTCCGTTGAGGATGGATCGAATGTCTAGCACAGCATGATTTTATTGACGGCCTGCTTGACATATCCTTATCTCAAGTAAACCATGCTCGAAATTCTCTAGGTCGTCTTCTTGATTTGTGTTTTTTATCAAATGGTGATGGTGTGTTTTTGTCCAGCGTAGCACCACTCACGCAACCTGAAGATCCATATCATATCCATATCATATCCATATCCATATCGAACTTTCATTTGACACGGGTAGAGTTATAGAAAAAAAATCAGAAAAATCATCCAAGCGAATACATTGTTTCTGCAAGGCAGACTTTTTGAGGCTAAATAATTTTATTTCTGGCTTTAATTGGTCTGATCTTTACTTATGCAATAATATGTCCGATGCAGTTAATGTTTTTTACACTGCAATAACCTCATTTTTTAATTCATGTGTTTTGTGGCACTATCTGTCAATTTCCAATAAATCACCTTGGTTTAGCAAAGAATTGACCGACCCACTTAATAAACGTAAAGTCCAGACTTTTTAAGAAATATAAAAATACCGGCTCTCAATCTGTTTTTACTAGATATTTAAGTGCTCGGTCAAGATTTACCGTGCTTAATGCTCAGTGTTATAATAGTTACTTAAACCGTTGTAAGGTCCAGTTATAAAACAGTTTTATAACTTCGTTAACACCAAGCGTAAATCTAATTCTTATCCTTCCTCGCTGTCGACGGCAACCACAGATCAGGCAATAGCCGATTTATTTTCCCAATTTTTTCAAACGACCTACTCCACTTTAGATTATACATCACAGCCTTATTTTTACACAATGTCCAAGTCAAACCTCATATTCTGTCCCACTTTAACAGAAAGTTCTCTTCTTTTGGATCTTCTTCGTATTAAGCCTGTTTATTCGCCAGGCCCGATGGTATTCCAGGGTGCGTGCTTAGGTATTGCGCTAAGGACCTGTGCAAACCTCTTCACAAGTTGTTTACCTTATCTCTAGAAACTTCCCAATTCAAAAATATTTGGAAGGTAACAAGTTAGAAGTCAGTAACTATAGCGGTATTTCTAAGTTGTCAGCTATTCCTAAGCTTTTTGAAAAAAATATTACTCCTCATCTGCAGCACCTTTGTAGATCAATCATTTCTCCCTGTCAACACGGATTTATTAAACGTAGATCAACAATCACAAACCTTCTAGAGTTCACTACATTTGTGATAAAGGGCTTCAATAGTAGTTTTCAAACAGACGTCATTTACACTGACTATAGTAAAGCATTTGACTCTGTAAAAAATTTACTTCTTGTTCAAAAACTTGACTTGATAGGTTTTCCAGTCGATCTACTTAAATGGATCTAAAGTTATCTGAATGGGTCCTTTTTAAAAATTCAATTTTTAAAATTCTCCGTGTTACCTCCGGTGTCCCACAAGGGAGCAATTTGGGTCCGTTACTTTTTACATTATTTATTAACGATCTTCCATCAATTATAAGTCATTCTCGCGTACTTATGTACGCAGATGATGTTATGTTATGCCTGCAGTATAAGGATATTTCCTGTCATTTAGACTTTCAATCCGATCTAGATAATTTTCAAAACTGGTGCCGAGATATTTTTCCTAAATTTAAACGGTTCCAAGTGCAAGCTGATGACTTTTTATCGGGCCAATCCGATATACGCGACTTACACGTTAAGTGGCAGCTCTTTGGATAGAATAACTCTTGTAAACGATCTTGGCGTTCTCTTGGACCCTAAACTAAAATTTTCTAATCACATTTCGTCTATGGTTAATAAAGCCGAGGAGTGCTTGGATTTATTAAAAGGTGGTCAAAAGAATTCCATGATCCTTATTTGACTAAAACTTTATTTATTTCGCTAGTCCGTCCGATTCTGGAGTATGGGTCTCCCGTCTGGAGTCCACAATACGGAATACATAAAAAAAACTTTCTTCTTTTCGCTTTTCGGCGCCTAAACTGGGATGCAAATCTTAACTTACCTTCTTATTGTAGTAGACTTCTGTTGATTTATTTACCCTCCCTAGCCAACCGTAGAACGATGCTTGGTACTGTCTTCATTTATAACCTTATACATAATGATATTGACTGCCCCGACTTGTTAAGTCGGCTAAACTTTTCTGTGCCAAGTAGATTAACTAGAAATTATTTTCCCCTAATTTTAAATCATTGTAGATCTAACTATGCCTTGCATGAGCCTTTCAGAGTATTATGTTCTGACTATAATAGACTTTTTCCTGTAGTCTCAAATCTTGACTCTCTGCCGCTCCTAAAACGATTAATACTTGCTTCATTGGCACAATATTGATCTAACAATTACTTTTTTCCCTGGACCTTTACCTTTATTTTCTTATCTCGCGTCTATCCTCTCGTGCCGTACGATACACGGCTGCGCCCCTTGGTCGGTTGGGCGGGTAAGTGGGCCGTGGGACGCAATTACATAGGCCAAATCTAACACTCTTTTATATTCACAAGCCCAGAAACCACAGTGGTGGAAGACATATTTAAAAAAAAAACGACTTATTTTTTAACATAGAGGAATTATTGGAATTTGCTAAAGTTAAATTAGCCACGAATGGCAACGACCTCATTTATATTATTAGCCTCCCAAATATTAAAACAGGTAATTGTAGAACTGTAAAAATTAAAGATATAAAAAAAGTCCAAATAATCAATGATATAAAATACGAAAATTTGTTGGAATGTAAGGGACAATTATTTGCAATTAAAAAAACGAATCCCATAATGATAAGACAATTTGTAATTCAGAAAATTTGTTAGATTTAAGCAATAATACATGAGTAAACGGTCTCTGTCGTTGCGACCGAGGACCGTCGCGTTTAAGGAGCGAAGAGTTAACACCCAGTTGCTCCTGGCTCGCTGCTGCGCTGCTCCTGGCGTGCTGCTGCGTCGCTCCCGGCTTACCGCTGCGTCGCTCCTGGCCTGCTACTGCGCTGCTTCGGCTTGCTGCTCCGGGTGACTGAGATCGGGACGGCTCCACTAAAAACCCTGGATGTTATGCTAGCTTCCCTACCGGGACCGGCAAGGTTTATCGCCTAGCAGGTGAACCGAAGTTACGCCTTATCGCCTAGCCACCTTTATCGCCTGGCTTCCGGAGTTCAGCCTGGACTTTGTCGGCAAGGTGTATCGCCTGGCAGGTAGAACAAAGTTCTCCCTTATCGCCTAGCCACCTTTATCGTCCGAAGTCCGCCAATTTACCGTATGACCCCGTTGCCCTTGCCGGGCGCGGGTCCAAGGTCCATCGAGGTACCGTTAATTCACGGTGTGTCCTCTTTAGGCGGGTCCGAAGTCCGCCAATTCACCGTATGACCTCGTTGCCCTTGCCATATGAGGGTCCAAGGTCCGAATGTTTCCCGTTTGACCTGGATACCCTTCATTTCTCCGGCCTTCTCGCCTCCTCCGCTGTTGCTAGGCCAATCTCCTGCATCGGGATTTGTGGGGAGATTAACCCTCCTCACATTTCCCCCTTCGGAAACGTAATGAAAGTGGTGACTTTCCCCGCTTTTGATGTTTAGACTACTCGAATTCCCCGGTGGTGGCGGTGGCGGTGTTGCAGGCCGGCGCGGCGACGGTGTTGGCGGTGGCGGTGTCGGTGTTGCTGCCCGGGGCGGCGGCAGTGGTGGCGGTGGCGGTATTGCTGCCCGGGGCGGCGACGGCGGTGGCGGTGGCGATGCTGATGGCGGTGGTGCTCCCCGCGGCGGCGACGGCGGTGGTGGCGGCTGCGGTGGCGACGGCGGTGGCGGTGCTTGCGGCGGCGGCTGCTCCGGAGGGCCTGGCCGTGCCCAGATCGCCGCCTCCTCGGCCTCAGCCTCAGTGGCTTTTGCCACCTCCGGCTGCGCGAATAATCGCCGCACCACCTCCGCCCGGGTTGCGAATATCCGCTTCGCCTCCTCCGGGCGGCCCGATGGCGCTGCGTCGCCCAAGCGGATCCGCCCGAATCCGGCGGCGGCCCTCCGTATTCTCCGGAATGCCATCCGGGCCTTCGCCGCCCGACGTGGCTCGTCCTCCTCGTTTGAGGAGACCTCCGGACTCACCGTCTCCGTCCCGGTGTCCTCCTCCTCTTCTTCCGATGAGGCCAGGTCGATCGTGGGCACCTCGGCCTCCTGCCCTGCCGACCTGACGCCGGCCTCCTCCTCCAGCTCTATGTCGGTGATCCGCTCCTCGTCCTCCGATTCGGGGTTCGGCGACGGGGACCGCGACACCAGGGGGGACGCCAGCAGCTGGAGTGCGGAACCTGAGTCCCGCCTCCATCTCGCCGCTGGCTGTTGCCCGGAGCTGCCCCTCCGCCCCTCTCCCCTCACGGACTTACTGTTGCTGCTGCTGCTTCTGTACATCTTGGCGACCTGATTTAAATAGGCCCGTCTTGTGGCGCTCGCGCGCTGACGAAACCTCGGTTTCCTATGTCCCTGGTTCCTGGTTCCGTTATCCGCGGCGGCCTTTGGACTTTCCCTTGCTACGGGCTCCGACGGGTCCTCTCTTTGGTGTGCGTTACCCGGTAATGGTATCCGCATCCTATGACCCTCCCTCTCCCGCTCTCGTGCTCCTAATGCATCTGTGTGAGTTCAATACTGTGTATCGTCCTCTCCCTCTCTTTGCAGAATATTCTGTAAATTATATTCTCCAAAATTATTTATATGATGCATTCTTAATACTCATAAAAAAACCCAACTTCCCAACTTTAAAAACACCAAAGTTATGGCATTTCCAATCGTTCAGTTATATGGCAGCTATAAGATATAGTCGGCCGATCTTTATGAAATTTGGTAGGTCGGATTGATTGGCGAAAAATTAACCCATAGATAATCCCAACTTTCTAACTTTACAAACAACAAAGTTATGGCATTTCCGATCAATCAGTTATATGGCGGCTATAGGATATAGTCGCCCGATTCTTATGAAATTTGGTAGGTCAGACTGATTGGAAACAAAATACAAAATTCGAAGCGCAGACAAAAAAAACACGACCGTTCACTTTGACAGTCAAGGACATGATAATAACGTAAAAGAAGTCGAAATACAAAACAAACTTGACGTTTTAAACTCTTTCAATAAAAATATAAAATTCACACTGGAACAGGAAGAAGATGGAGGACTAGCATATTTGGACTCAATGGTTCATAGACAGGGGAACATTCTAAAACTAAAGTGGTATAAAAAACCAACAGCGTCAGGACGAAACGATGATTATCAGTTCAGCAGTAGGTTGTATACAACGGACGCTAGCCATTTCGGACCAAATTTTTCATAAAGAAACCAAAAATGAAATAAGACAAATTTTAAAAGGCAACGACTTCCCAAACCGTCTAATTAGAACATTAATTAAAAGACACCAAAACATGCAACAAAAAACAAAATGTAGAGAACCTACACAATACATGTCCGTAACATATATACCAAGACTATTAGAACTCCTTAAAAAGTCCAAATTTTACAATAACCAAAAATAACAATAGCACATAAGCCCAACAATACCCTGCGATCAATATTCGACAAGACCAAGTCCAAAATACAAATGTTTGACAAAAACAATGTTGTATATAAAATACCATACTATGGAAATACAAATGAAAAATGTGACAGTATGTAGGAACAACTAAATCCAACCTAAAAACTCGAATATCACAACACAGATAAAACTTCAAATTAAGACACCAAGCTAAAATACAAAAAACAGCACTTATTGCTTACTGTAAAACCAGCGGTCACTCGCCAAATTTTGAAGCAAAGACTATTTTGGAACAAGAACAACATTACAAAAAACGCTTTACCATAGAAATGTAACATATAACAAACACACCCACAAGCATAAGACTGAACTACAAAATAGACGTTGAAAATTGCGCTCACAATTACAGACACTTAATAACAACTAGTATTAATCTCCACGTCCGACGGTGGAGACGTGTAAAATTATGTAGATGTAATAATTTTTAAAACTTTGTTTTTCATTGTCTAAATTTATGTGATTTTTTGTGTTTTTATGTTGATTATAGTTGCCTTGAAAGCGGTTGCCGAAGTGCAACTGAAATATATTGAAAAAAAAAAATTTAAAAACTTTTGTTTAAAAATGTTTTTAATTGTTGACCTCGAGCCGGAAAAACTCAAAAATAAGAACATCAATTTTTAGGCTATTTCTACCGACATGCCTGGGGATAACCACAGTCCTCGACTATTCCAACTCACAAATCATTTCACTCGAAACCGGATTAGCGGCTAATCAAGACGGAACATTTAAAATCATCCACATATTTAACTTACACAGCTATGAAGAAACTCTGGCGAAGTTAGAAGATGCATTTCATTCACTCACCTCATCTCTTCCATTACACCCCTATCTCTCCTACGAATTAAAAAAGATTCATACTGATTTGCGCATTCTTCAAACACAAAAAAGACAAAAAAGACAAAAAAGACAAAAAAGACAAAAAAGGGCAATAGAAGCAATAGGTACTGCATGGAAATGGCTGGCGGTATTACCACGACTACGAGATCTTAGAAAATAAGATAAATGAGCAATTAGAAAACAACAATAAACAAGTAGTAATTAACAGATTAATTAATCAAAAAATAAACAACTTACTAATGCAACTAATGCAATATTAAAAGTTACCCAGAGATCGGAAAAAATCGTAAATCAGAAAGCAAATATTTTAAAGTATAAAATTCAATTAATAAAAGAAGTACTACATACATACCAACATAATATACGCAATTACATGGGCCAAATCTAACACAATAAACTCTTTTGTATTCACAAGCACAGAAACCAAAGTGGTGGAAGATATCTTTAAAAAAGAAAACGACTTATTTTTTAACATAGAGGAATAATTGGAATTTGTTAAAGTTAAATTAGCCACAAATGGCAACCACCTCATTTATATTATAAGCCTCCCAATTATTAAAACAGATAATTGTAGAACTTTAAAAATTAAAGCAATAAAAAAGCCCAAATAATCAATGATATAAAATACAAAAAATTTGTTAGAATTATAAGAGACAATTATTTGCAATTAAATAACCTTGCGAATCGCATAATTATAAGACAATTTGTATTTCAGAAAATTTGTTAGATTTAAGCAATGATACATGAGTTAATGCTCTCTGTCGTTGCGACCGAGGATAGTCGCGTTTGAAGAGGGAAGAGTTAACACCCAAAATTATATAAAGAGCCAGACATAAGTAAGAGTAAGCATTGATTGCACAACGAATGCCCTCCCCCCAAGCCACGTGCGCTGAGCTTGCACCTTTCGGTCAGCGATCTTTGGAATGGAGAATAGCCAATTTCCAAAGTTGATCGACTCGGCCAAGTGCAAACAACAAAAACTATAACTTGAATGCATTATCCAATGACAATTAAATTTGGCCAACAGCGACACCGAAGAAAAGCAGCAATCAATAATAATAAAGAACGTTTACAGAAACGGCAGCAGCGGCAGAGACGGTGTCAGCGATGGAGCGACGCGTAGTCATAATGAATAATTGTTTAGCTTAATTAAAATCAGTTCTTAATCCAACTCAATAAAGTAAAGTTGGATTTTTTTATATCAAAATAATAATCAATCTTTCAACTTATATGTACTTACTATAAAAACAACAAAAATATAATGGTTTCAAAGAATAAAAACAAGAAACAAACAGTACATAAAGGTGGGTTAAACATTTTTATTTCAATTTATTCGAAATTTTTTATTTCATAATCATTTAATTTCTCTTATAAATATTTAACTTATGGCCATACTTAGAATTAGAACCATACTTGGAATGAACAAAAAACAAGAAAGGAAAGCAAACTTCGGGCTGAGCCGAAGTTAATATACCCTTGCAGAATATTCTGTAAATTATATTCTCCAAAATTATTTATATGATGCATTCTTAATACTCATAAAAAAACCCAACTTCCCAACTTTAAAAACACCAAAGTTATGGCATTTCCAATCGTTCAGTTATATGGCAGCTATAAGATATAGTCGGCCGATCTTTATGAAATTTGGTAGGTCGGATTGATTGGCGAAAAATTAAACCCATAGATAATCCCAACTTTCTAACTTTACAAACACCAAAGTTATGGCATTTCCGATCAATCAGTTATATGGCGGCTATAGGATATAGTCGCCCGATCCTTATGAAATTTGGTAGGTCAGACTGATTGGAAACAAAATACAAAATTCGAAGCGCAGAAAAAAAACACGACCGTTCACTTTGAAAGTCAAGGACATGATAATAACGTAAAAGAAGTCGAACTACAAAACACACTTGACGTTTTAAACTCTTTCAATAAAAATATAAAATTCACACTGGAACAGGAAGAAGATGGAGGACTAGCATATTTGGACTCAATGGTTCATAGACAGGGGAACATTCTAAAACTAAAGTGGTATAAAAAACCAACAGCATCAGGACGAAACAATGATTATCAGTTCAGCAGTAGGTTGTATACAACGGACGCTAGCCATTTCGCACCAAATTTTTCATAAAGAAACCAAAAATGAAATAAGACAAGTTTTAAAAGGCAACGACTTCCCAAACCGTCTAATTAGAACATTAATTAAAAGACACCAAAACATGCAACAAAAAACAAAATGTAGAGAACCTACACAATACATGTCCGTAACATATATACCAAGACTATTAGAACTCCTTAAAAAGTCCGAATTTTTCAATAAACCAAAAATAACAATAGCACAATAGACAATACCCTGCGATCAATATTCGACAAGACCAAGTCCAAAATACATATGTTTGACAATAACAATGTTGTATATAAAATACCATACTATGGAAATACAAATGAAAAATGTGACAGTATGTAGGAACAACTAAATCCAACCTAAAAACTCGAATATCACAACACAGATAAAACTTCAAATTAAGACACCAAGCTAAAATACAAAAAACAGCACTTATTGCTTACTGTAAAACCAGCGGTCACTCGCCAAATTTTGAAGCAAAGACTATTTTGGAACAAGAACAACATTACAAAAAACGCTTTACCATAGAAATGTAACATATAACAAACACACCCACAAGCATAAGACTGAACTACAAAATAGACGTTGAAAATTGCGCTCACAATTACAGACACTTAATAACAACTAGTATTAATCTCCACGTCCGACGGTGGAGACGTGTAAAATTATGTAGATGTAATAATTTTTAAAACTTTGTTTTTCATTGTCTAAATTTATGTGATTTTTTGTGTTTTTATGTTGATTATAGTTGCCTTGAAAGCGGTTGCCGAAGTGCAACTGAAATATATTGGAAAAAATAAAATTTAAAAACTTTTGTTTAAAAATGTTTTTAATTGTTGACCTCGAGCCGGAAAAACATCAATTTTTAGGCTATTTCTACCGACATGCCTGGGGATAACCACAGTCCTCGACTATTCCAACTCACAAATCATTTCACTCGAAACCGGATTAGCGGCTAATCAAGACGGAACATTTAAAATCATCCACATATTTAACTTACACAGCTATGAAGAAACTCTGGCGAAGTTAGAAGATGCATTTCA